TGAGATGGAGGATGACAAAATGGATTGGTCAACGGGTGAAGAATGTTTATTACAAGTACGTCTAGTTGAACGGCGAGGACCAACACCAGCAGAAGATTTACTTGAAACGTCTGATATAGCATTAGGATTAATGGCAATACGAGACATTATAGGGGTCGGGCTAGGTGGAATGTTTGTTTTTGTTTTTGAAACACCATGCGAACGTTGGCAGTGAACACTTGCGCCTTGAGCATTTGGGAAATCTTTATTGCAAATTAGACAATGAGCAGATGCCGTGAGAACAGTGTGGGGGGGAACTGTTTTAAAATGACGTTTTAAATTAGGGAAACTGACGATGGTATTTCCACAAAGACAGCAAATAAAATTCTTTCCTTCGGGATAAGATCTCACTACCGAAACCGATTTAACAGAAGAGTTGCTAGTGCTGTGTATTTTAGTGCGATGACCACAGAGGCCACCTTGGGACGACGATGAAAAATTGCAGTCAGGACAGTTGAATAACCGAGACATTTTGTAGAAACAATCGGACATTTTGTAGAAACAATCTGTAGTGACAAGGCTTTTTGAATCTCATTTTAATATCATAATATAAACATGATAAAAAACTTTAAAATGTCGATGCATATCCCGCCATATTGCGTTTGCGGAATCCAATGATTCTGACTTATAGACTGCGTAGACTCCCCTCCCCCCGATCGACCACAGAGGAATTACAGCGATGATGGGAAGGAAGATTCCATTTACCAGGGGGGCGGGATGCTATCTGCGAACAGATATTGAAAATATTGCTCCCTGCAGCGGAAAAATTACAATCTGCTTGCAATACTTAGTGTTAGTGTTAATGAGAGGCAATGAATTCTGAATATATAAAAAGCTTGATGGGAAATAGGAATATATTAAACAATAATACACTTTTATACAAAGGAATCATTGTCATTTACATTCATTTACGTTTCCAAAGCAAGTAAGTTGGGCATTAATTTTAGTATTATATGACCGTTGGTTATCATTTAATATGCCCATTGTGGTTCGAAATTTCGTTAATTAAAATAGTTATTAAAGTGCTAAATTTAATAGTAAATAATCTATAATTTCCTAGCAAGCTTTTTAGTTTGTCTTTGTTTCATATCAATGTTTATATTAAATTAAATTAAAAATTGAATACAAGGACTGCTGCTTGCAAACAAATTCGAACCTAATTGATAATGTCATGATTCATG